TCTGATTCTAAGGAAATATTTTTTCAGACCCCAAAAAGCTGACCCTGCAAGATGCTGCTGATAGCCTCGTGAGGGCACAAAGATGGGGGCCTACACCGGGCACCTAGGTCCACATTCAGCCAGTGCCACAGAGACCAGCTCCGTAAAGGCTTCCTGGGAATTGCCAAGGTGCCCTGGGATGGCACCTGTGTAGAGCCTCCTGCTGCCTTCACCAGGCTTCTCTGACATCCTGTGGGTGGACACCGGGGAATGGCCTAGCACCCTCAGATGTGTGCACCCCAGCGGTGGGGCCCACGGAGGGCCTTTGCCTAGTGAGAGATACGGAAGCCAGTAAATAATCTGAGATATTCCATAAGGTTCTTAAGAAGACTTGCAAAGTCAGCCACAGTCACCCAAGGGGGTGACTAACTTGACCACAGCCTTGTGTTAGCCCCCTCCCCTGTTCCACCCCTTTCCTGCCTTGTTCCTCACCCCCACCTCCCTAGGATCACTCCCCAAGTCAGCTACTGGCCTCTGAACCCAAAGCCCATGCAGGCTCCACTTCTAGGAGGAACCAGAGAGGCATCCGTTCTGGAAGATTCTAAATCTTGGAGGCAGGGGTGGAGAGGGAGTATTGAGAGGAATTGAGAGGAAACCCCCTCCGCCTCTCCCCCAAGAGTGCTGTTTTGAAGCATGGCTCTTGGCTGGCCCCTTCCTTGCGCAGAAACCCATGATAAGGACACTCTGGTATTTGCCCCACTGCCTGTGGACTCTGCTACGTGAGCTCCAGCACTTTCTGGACCCCAGCGTCTGGGGCTGTGCCTCGAGGTTGGCCTTTCCAGTAATTAGCCATCACTGGGATTTCACACCAGCCGCTGGTGGGAGGATCCCTCCCCACAGGCCTTGCCCTGGGGGAAGGATAGGCCTGGCCAGGCCTCTGTGCCTGAGTTCAGGAGGCAGGGCCTGGCCTCTTCCATCTGGTTTGTGCCTTCTGCAGCCCACCTCCCAGAATGTTCCCCTCAGGGCTCCTGCAGGAGTGAAGAGCCTAGAGACCCTGTCCAAGGACACCACACCCCAGACAGGGGCTCCAAGTCTGCCCTGCTCCCCTCTCCCAGTGCTGGAGGGACAGCAGGGCTGGTGTGTGGGGAAGGGGTCCCAGTGAGCCTATAGCAAGGACCCGGGGAGTTGGGCAGGAAGCTGGATTGACTGGGGTCTCAGTCATGCCCCCCCTTCAGGGATACTGTGTCTTTTATGATCTTGGGGCATGAAGCAGCAGTGGTTTCCTCATCCCCATGTCCTTGTCCCCACTGAGTCACCAGAGCCTCCTCCTTCTTCAGAGGCCACCCTTTGTGACACACCAGCTTCTGTCTGGAGCTGAAGGGGAAGCTTTTGCCTCTAGCCTCCCTGTTTCTGCCCGGTGTCCCCCTTACTCCTCGGTGTAACCTGCCCCACCCCCACCCTGCACCTCTGCAGGCATCTGAGTGAATGAGAACGAGGGAGAGGGAGGGCGAGGCGTGGGGACCCTGTCTGGCAGGGACGTGTGTGGGGCACATCTGGCTAAAGTCGGACTCCTCAGAGTGTTCTGTTTGGTGAGGCTCCCGCGGCCCCCGGAAAACATGGCGTCCATTCGCAGAAGCCCAGAGTGAGAGAGGCCCTTTGAAGTCACCCCAGAGTATCTTCCTGTGACTTCTAAGTCCCTCCTCATCAGGCTTCTGGTGATACTAGCAAGGAATCTGATGCAGGAAAATGGTTGACCCCAAGACACTGTGTGTGGTGGCCCCAAGTTGTCCTGTCCTGAAATCAAGGAGAGTGTGAAGTCTGGGCCAAGAGCTTCAGGTACCAGGTTTGAATCTGGCTTTGTCACTCACTGGCTGTGGGACCTCTGAGCCTCAGGGTCCTCAGCTGTAAACTGAGGGTGGCGTGAAGAGTGACAAAGGCAATGGGCATAAAAGGTGTTCACATGGGCCTGCCCTTCTCTCCCTGGATGGTGGGCATCCAGCTTTCGCTTAGCCCTCCACTGGCATGCACCCAGGGACTAGTGTCTTCTTTGGAGTGTGATGCTCACTGGATACAGAGGGGCTGTGACCTTGCTCGTCTCCTCCCATTCAGGTCCCAGGCCATCCTTTGGCTGGTGACCCGGTGATGTCCTGCCCCAGTGAAGGGTGTGGGCAGAAAGTGGGGGCAGACATGAGTCAGGGGGGGAGGACCCCTCAGGAAACATTAGGTTGGGCCCTCAGATGGCCTTGGCCAGGCCCAGGCTGACTTGGGAAGCTGGGGTGGAGTGGGCCTCCCTCGGACACTACTCGTCCCTTGGGTGAGGGCCAGGTCTCTTGCTTTCTGACTTCCTGTCACTACCTGTCACAGCCCTGGCATGCAGGAGCCCACCGTCTGTATGCCACCATCAGAGGAATGGTGACTGGGCCTGGCTGCTTCCCCTCTGTGGGAACTTCCTCCTGAGTTTGACCTCAATTTGTCTTCTTCAGTCCGTCTGCTGACAAAAGCATTTTTTGGAGTGCTTCCTTTTTTATGGGGGTGAGGAAGGGGAAGCCCAGGTTTGCACCCTTTGGGACCTGGGAGGGCTCAGGCAGCTCTGGGGTCAGGAGCCCCCTCTGTACTTCCCAGGCCAGGCTTCTGATTGGCCAGGAGCTCCCAGGGGCGGAACGGGCTAAATTTGACTTCCCCTGGTGTCCCTGCCCCTGGCCTCCTCCTCTACTGTCCCTTCTCTCCCCATCCCACAATTCCAAGGGCTCAGCACCTCCTCTGTCTGCCTGTGTTTACAGGCTCTCATCACCACTGGTGACCTCAGCCCAGCCCCTGCTGTCCCCACCCACTCCTGGTGGATAGCAGGGCCAGGGGCAAGGTGCTCTAGCATGTGTGTGTGTCCAATGTAGTTCTCACAAAGTAGCCATGACAAAGTCTCCTGTTCTATATCTTCTCCTAGAACCCCCACTCTGCCCCTGACTTTCAGTGTAGTTGAATTCTCTTCAGCTTGACTCTGGGTGGCTTTGTGACTTGCTTGTCGCCAATAGAATGCAGAAGACAGAATGAGTAATTCTCAAGCCTGGACCAGAAAAGATGACCAAACACTCTTTGTGGCTGGGCTCCTCTCGAGGCCCAAGGCTGCCATTCTGAGTGTGAGGAGACACTGAGATGCCATGCAGGAGGGTAATGCCTGGACCACCCACGCTGCCCTGCCTTAGCCACTGTCTGGCTGAAATCGCAGGAGAACCACCCAGCTGAGCCCTTCCTGCCTCCCAATCCACAGGTATGCTAGAGGCTATGCAGTGGCCATCACAGCTGCCTGGTCTTGGGATGAACCTCTAATGTCCAGCAGGGTGTCCAGCAGATGTCCAGACAGGGTGCTGGACAGAGCCCAGCCTGGTGTCTCAAGGTCCCTGCCACTACCCAGCCTTTGCCTGACTCTAGGCATGCAGTTCCCCCTCTCTGGGCCTTGGTTAGTCTTCTGAACAGTCACAGGGTCAGGCCAGCTGTGCCCTCAGGCCCTTCCTATACACTTTCTGCAGGAATAAGCCTGGGTGGTGCGCCTGCTGCCCACCATATCCTCTGTGTGAGCTCCCGCTCCCCCAAAAGGCCCAGTCCCCCAAATGCCACCTCCCTCCTAAAGCTGCCCTGATTTCTCCCTGTCCTGGTACAACATGCAGGCAGCCCTGGTCCTTCCTCTGCCCTCTCCATGGAGCCTGGGTCCTGATTAGTACGACACTTGTGTTTTCATCCTAGCAGGTGGTGACTTGGGTGTCTCTCCAGAGTTGTCTTTCTCCTCTGTCTTCCTCCAAAGTTTTAGACACCATTCCTCTTGCATAGCAGACGTATCCCTTACCCTTTCTCCAAAGCTAATTGAACAAATGAACAAAGATGTTGACCCTCACTCTGATGGTCCTCGTTGAGCACTTACCCTGTGCCAGACAGATGTTGTGAGGAGCCCTTCCTAAACATCACCTCATTTAATCTTCATAACAACCCTGGGGGGTGAGCAGCATTTTCAACCCTATTTTACGGTCAAGGAAACTGAAGCCCAGAAAGGTTAAGAAACTTGTCCAAGTTCCCACAGCTAGGAAGAGGCAGAGCCAGACTTGAAGCCTTGAGTGTGCTTGATCACCATGTTGTGGGGCGTTGTGTCATCCTGTTTATGGTGGAGGACACAGGATGGAAGACCTTTAGCTGCCTGTCACAGAGCTGGCAAGGGGAGGAACAGGGATTTGGACTCAGTTGTCTGCAAAGGCTGTGCCCCTAATTCCTGGGCTCCCTTTTCTAGAAGTGGGGACTCTCAGGTCCACCATACTCAGGAGACTAAGGTCAGCTGCTGCTGAGGATTGGTGGGGGACACTGAGATAGGACACAGCCCTCTCTAGATTGTGGCCCCCTCTGATTTGATGGTGACAATGCAGTTTGGGGGTCCTGGCACGAGTGACTGTTCATTTAGTCCTGGGTGGGGTTCGCTTTGGGCTGTCCCCTCAGACCTTTCCACTCTCTAACCCGATGTTGAAGCTCTTATCTCACTGGGTGTGTAGCTCTCCTGGGATCTATGAGGACACTTTGGTCCAAAAGGGGTTGGTGACGCCACCAGGGTCCTGTGTGAGACTGGGCAGGGCCAGGCTGGCTTGGGGCTGCCTTTCACTTCCCACTCTTCAGGCTGTTGCCACACTTGTTATCTTTGCGCACCCTGCTGTGGTCTAGGTTGGGGGCTTTCCAGGACAGCGCATGCCAAGTGCACAAACGGCGTCTTCAAGGTCACTGAGCTGCGCCTGCAGCCCTGTGCTTCCTTGGAGTTGGCTCTGGGTGTTGAAACTGGGGAGGAGGAGGGTTGCTCCCTAACATGTGATGCTCCTGGTGGGTGTCTGGGGCTCATGGTCCCAGATTAGGGTGTCTTGGGCGGAGGGCCGAGGGCATTTGAACGGACCTGTTGGGAGCAGCAGTTTGGGGTGAGCAGTCAAGGGCGGACCCCTATCCAGAAGCTTCTCCTATGACGAAGAAACACAATCCTTCCCCTTTGGTTTATTTAGGCAGAATTTGACTCTGAGATGTAAACGACTGAGCCGGGAGACCCATGTGAGAATGTTCAGAGCAGCATTGTTCACAAGAGAAAAACCTGGAAACCGCCCAAATGCCCATCAACAACAGAGGGGATGAATGAGCTGTGGTTGTGTGGTCGCCGGGTGAAATGCTAGACAGCAGGCAAAACGAAGGACCTCGTGTAACCTCCAGCAATACGGACGAGTCTCAGCAGCAGAAAATTGAGATGAAAAAGTCCCCAGAGATGACTTGCCATTAACATTAAAAACACGTGACTTTATGACCATATGGGTGCAATTACACTACACAAAGCATTAAGCAAGGGGCTGATGAACACAGGACAGGATGACAGTCACCGCAGTGGGGGGTAGGGCCAGTATGGGAACAGGGGTTAGAAGTGGGTGATGGTTGAGGATTAACTATTGGTTGAGGTGGTGAGTTTATGGATGCTCATTGCGTTAGTAAAACCAGGGAAACAATATAAATAAAAGTGGGATTTGCGCGGAACACTAATAAGACCGCCATGGACCAAGGATTCTGTAAGCCTGAGACCCAAACAAAGAAATCAAATGAAACAAAAGATATGAACTGGGAAGACCCTCGTGCTGACCCAAAGAAGAAGCCACAGGAGAGACATGATCCGTAAGTGGTGGGGGACCAAGAGCTGGGCAGCCTCAAGCTTGGTGGATCCCACGGCCCCTGTGTTAGTTTCCTGTTGCTGCATAACAAATTATAGTTGTCCCTGGGGGATCTGTGGGGGATTGGCTCCAGGATCTCTCAGAATCTGTGGATACACAAGTCTCTTATATAAAATGGCACAGGCTTCATATATCCCACACCCCTCCTCCCATATGTTTGAAGTCATCCCTGGATTGCATACAATATCCAATACAACGTAAATGTGATGTAAACAGTTGGTGTACTGTATTGTTTAAGGAATGTAACAATAATGTATATGTGTTCAGAGCAGATGTAACTTTTCCCCCAGGTATTTCTGACCCACCACTGGTTAGATCTGAGGATGTGGAAGTCGTGGGTAGGGGGACTGACTGGACCACACACACAGCAGCTTAAAGTCACACCTATTTGTTATCTCACAGTTCCTGTAGGTCAGGAGACTGAGTCCTCTGTTCAGGGTCTCATCAGTCTTAAAATAAAGTGTTGATGGGCCATGATCTCCTTTGAAGCTTGGGGTCTACTCCTAAGTTCTTTGCAGATGTGAGACTGAGGACCTCAGCTCCAGAGGTCACTGTTGTTTCCTGCCATGTGATCCTCTCTGTGACATGGTAGTTTGGGTATCTTCACGATCAGTAGAAGAACATCTCTGCTGCTTTGAATCTCTGGCTTCTTCCATCTGTGTTCTCTGGATTCTCATATAAAGGTGAATCTGATTAGGTCAGGTCCACCCAGCATAATCTCCCTTGGGATTAATGCAGAGTCAACTGATTATGGACCTTAATTACACAGGCAAAGTCCTTTGCCTTTGCTGTATAATGTGATCCAACCATAGAAGTGGTATCTCATTGTATTCAGGAGTCTTGTTCAACCTTAAAGGGAGAGGATTTCTGAGGTATGTATACCAGGGCCACGTATCTTGGGGACCATTTCAGAATAATGCTTATATTATTTCCTTTCCAAGATTTGGTTTTCTCTTCCATGAAGTAAGAATAATCTCTACTTGACAGGAATTATAGACCTATTAAATGAGGTGACAAAGGCAGAAGTGCTATCATTCTTTCCAAGATATTTATGAGGGCCTACTGCACGCTAGGTGGGTCTTCCAGGAGCTCAGTGAACACAGTGGTGGGCAACATGGATGCGGTCCTTTCCTCATGGGGCTGATAGGTAGTCAAGGAGGCAAGTATGAGGAGTAGGATCAGTATTATGAAAACTACAAAATGTTGTTGCAAGAAATCAGTGAAGCCTTAAAAAAAAACCTGGAAACATATACCATATTCATGGATTAAAGACTTTTTTAGTAAAGATGTCAATTTTCCCAAAGTGAACTATAGATTTAACACAAGCAAAATCTCAGCAAGATTTTTTTTTTCTGGTAGATATTAAAAAGTAGATTCCAAAATATTATGGAGGGTCAAAGGAACTAGAATAGCTAAAGTGGTTTTGAAAAAAAAGAGGATAAATTGGAGGAATCACACTGCCCAATTTTGAATCTTAACATAAAACACAATAGTAGTCAAGACAGATTGATATTGGCAAGGAGATGAATGCATAGGTTAAACAGAATAGAACATTCAGAATTTGATCCACATAAATATGATTAATATGTACAAAGGTACAAAGGACATTTAACAGGGAGAGAAGAGTCTTCTCAAAAAATGGTGGTAGAGGGGCTGGGGATGTGGCTCATGTGGTAAAGTGCTTGCCTGGCATGCCTGAGGCACTGGGTTCCATCCCCAGCACCACATAAAAATAAAATAAAGATATTGTATCCACCAAAAACTAAAAAATAAATTTAAAAAATGGTGGTGGAATAACTGGTCATCCGGGAGCAAAATAATAATAATAGCAATGAAGATTAACCCCAAATATACCATAGATCACAATGGAAAACCACACTTGTTAGAAGAAAGCATATGTGAAAATCTGACTTGGGATTGGGTGGCAGGTTTTATACATCATAACAAAAGAATGATCCATGAAAGATAAAATCGATACATTGAACTTTGTTAAAATTTAAAATTTTGCTCTGCTAAAGAAAGATACTGTCAAGAGAATGAAGAGACTAGCTATAGACTAGGAAAAAAATATTTGCAGACCAGATATGTTACAAAGGACTTGTATTCAGAATATATCCAGAATACTCAAAACTCAACAGCAAGAAACAAGCTGTCCAGTGGAAAAATGGGTAAAGGACTTGTACAGACACTTTACCAAAGAGGAGGACACATAATACATGAAAAGAAATTCACCACCATTGACCGTCAAAGAAATATCAACTGAATCCATGATGAGATTATTCTATAAGAATATCTGTAATAAAAAAAAATACTGGGTGAGGCCGTGTGTACTAGTCCCAGCTATTCGGGAGGCCAAGGAAGGAAGATCAGTTGAGCTCAGGAGTTCAAGGCCAGTCTGGGCAACCTAGCAAGACCCACCTTCTTAAAAAAACAACAACAACAAAAAAAAAAACAACATGGTGTCAAAGCTGGGGGCTGTGGGGGTACACCTGTCATTCCAGCCACTCCAGAGGCTGAGGCAAGAGGATTGCAAGTCCAAGGCCAGCCTTAGCACCATAGCAAAACCCCATCTCAATACAAAAAATTAAAGGGCTGGGTGTAGCTTAGTGGTAGAGCACCCCTGGTTCAATCCCCAGTACTTGGGGCAGGGCCTCTGACCAAAACAAGGTGCTGACAAGGACACAGAGGGCCTGGGACTCGCACCTTGCTGCTGGGAAAATAAAATGGTTCAGGCGCTTAGAAAAATGGTTCATCAGTTTCTTGTAAAGTTAAACACACGCTTACCATACACCCAGCAATCCCTCCCTGCATACAGTCATGCACCACATAATGATGTTTAGGTCAATTACAGACCACATACAACAATGGTGGGCCCCCAAGATGATGATGGAGCTGAAGAATTCCTATCACCCAGCGCCTGTTGCAACCATTGTGACTTTGTAGCGTAACACATTAGTCACATGTTTGTGGTGATGCTGGTGTAAACAAACCCAGTGCCCTGCTGGTCCTAGGAGAGCAAGGCACATAGAGTTAGGTTCAGTACATATCCTGGGTCGTGATATGGATTCACTAGAGGATGCTTTTATCATTATTTTAGCGTGTGCTCCTCCCTGTAAAACAAAAAAGTGAACTGTAAAGCAGCTTCAGACCCCGGGGATTCCAGAAGGCCTGTCGAAGCAGCTCTCAGTGATGTCAATGATACTGACCTTGTGGGCCTAGCCGAACACGTGTGTCTGCGTGTTAGCTTGGCTTTTATTTTATTTTTCCTGGGATGGGGGATGCAGAGCCTTATGCAAGCGCTCCACCACTGAGCTACATCCCCAGCCCAGAGCCTTAATGTTTAATTAAAAAGTTTAAAAAGAAGGAAACAGATTTTTCAAAAAGCAAATATTGTAGACAGCTGTACAATATGTTTGTGCCTTAAGCGAAATGGAATTACAAAAGAGTAAAAAGCACTTAAAAATGAAGAGTTTATAAAGAAAAAAAAAAAAGGCACATTAAGTGAAGGTTAAATTGTTATTGAAGAAAGAAAGAAAAAAATATATTTAGCATGGCCTGAGCACACGGTGTTTGAGAACATGGTAGTGGATGGTGTGGTCCTGAGTCTTCAGTCCCCCAGCCTCACTCCCTGCCCCATCCAGGGCAGCCTCTAGCCCTTCAAGCTCCATTCATGGCAAGAGGCATATGAAGCTGAATAATTTTGAGTCTTCTGTATCTTCTCTATTTTTTCGGTGCTTGCAATTGAATTGAGGACCTACCTTGGAGCCACATCCCCAGATCTATACAATATTTTTACTTTACATTTTCTACATTTATATATTTTTGAATACACAAATACTATCATGTTACAACTACCTACAGAATTCAGTCGGTATCTACTGCACAGGTCTGTAGCTTTGGAGCAACAGGCCCTCCCATGGAGCCCAGGTGTGTGGCAGGCCATACCCTCTAGGTTTGTGTAAGTACAATCTGTTGTTCACACAACAATGAAACCGCCCAACAATGCATTTCTCAGAACATATCCTTGTCATGAAGCAATACATGATTGTATTTACCCTGGAGAAAGGAAAAGATTTTTTTTTTCCCACATAAAAGCCTCTAAGTGAATGTTCACAGCTTTCTAATAGCCCAAAGCTGGACATAACCCGAATATCCATCCATGGGTGAGTGGTTAACGAAGTGTGGTACCTAAGAACAATGGACTACTACACAACAGTAAAAACCAACTATATTGGTAGGCAACACCTTGGATACATCTCAAAGAAATTTAAACTGAACAAGAGAAGACTGTCAAAAGGTTACACACTGTATAATTTCATTTATTGGACTGTCTTGCAAAGGAAAAAACTCCAGTGATGGAAAACATATTACTGGTTGCCAGGGTTACGGGTGGGGTCAGGGTGTAACCATAAAGGAACAGCATGAGGGATTTTTTAGGGGTGATGGAATTGTTCTGTATCCTGATGGTGGTGGTGGTGGTGGATACACAAATCTATACATGTGTTAAAACTAATAGAGCTGTACACCAGAAGAAAAGAAAAAACAAAGTAAAATTCACTGTATGAAAATTTAAAATATCCAAAAGTATGGATAAGGGCTCTAAGAGGGAGAGGCTTGGCTCTTGAAAACAGACTCATGTTTCAGAAGAGCTATCGTTATACAGGGGAGAACTTAGTGCAGAGCACAGAACTTAATAAATGCTCAATAAGTAAATAGCAGCAATAAAGAGATCAATGAATCAGGAACTCATAAATGAATCATAAGTCTAGGAAGCGATGTCATCAAGAAACCAAACACTAACTTCTTCTGGAAAGTGGATTCCTGAAGTCAAGGAGGCTTGTCCGAAGATGCCCCATGTCAGCTAGAGAGGGGCCTGCCCCAGCGGAGGAGGTAGGGCGGCCTGGAGGGCTGGCTGCAGACCCTGCTCCCTTGCTGCCTGCTCAGAGAGGCCCAGGGCTGGGTCTCCATGGGCGAGGGAGGCAGTGGCAGGCTCTGATTGGAGCCTCTCATCACCTCCCAGATGGCCCATAGCTATGACCTACTTTCCCTACCTGTGACACAGGTGAGTTTTCCCACCCGTAACTATTTTTATTTCAGCAGGATTCCAGCTACTTTTTTTTTTTTTTTTTAAACCGTGCTGGCTTGTGGGAGCTGCATTGTGGGGCTGGATTCCTGCTCAGTGGAAGACCCTGAGGGACGTCCCCTTCCCCTCC